GGTCGAAAAGGCTCAAAAACGGAAACGGAAAAAGGTTCGGTTTACGCGTTAAACCAAAAATCGCCGAATTTAAAATTCTAATCAATGAATCCTAATATTTCTAACACATAAACAAAAAATAAACACATAATTAAGTCCCATAGAAATTAAATAATAAGCAGATAAGAGAGACGAGCAATTAACAGAATAACCGACAAATTAGTAGAGCAACGACAAATAATTAATTATACGAAATTAAATAATAATATAATATCATAATATTCTAATAAACGAATGGGGCGCTACATGTACTGCCCCGGATGAGTGCACATAAGATCAACATATTTGGATGTATAGGGGGTGGATCTTCTGTTGGAACATACGTGAAGTCCACTTGTCTGATAAGGTTCTCCGTCAGTTTGGGTGTCAGCAGTTCATCCCCCAAAACCCGATGATTAGTGGTGAGAAAGAATGAGAGACACACCACAGAGGCCGTGGAATGACTGGGAGGGCATTTAGTGATCGGACCGCGTTTCATTCACAGCTTACCAATGGCTGAGTCGATGAAAGAGAACAAAATGTCCTCCAAGATGCCCCTGTGGATCACTTTCTACAGGCTGAGTAGGGTTAAATTGATTGGTTTTACACTAGTGATATAGTCATATTAACTTATACCGGTATAAGAATTCTTTACTCGACCGGACAATTACTCAAACCGTGCACACATCAATATACTCCAGTCGACATATCTAAATCAACTTCCGCCATGTCGATTCTTCACAGAAGGACCACGAGGAAAGGCGGAATGCATGCAAGTCGACTTCTAGAAGTCGACCTCTTACAGTCGACTCCCAAAAGTCGACTTCCATTTAAGAAAACCAACCAGAGCGTAGCCTCCAAATATCCAGATGATCTTAAGTCGACTTTCTAGTGCTCGAGGTCGACTCCTTGCGCCTCGAGACGCGAGACGCACAGACGACTCGATATACTTTTGATACCTATTGGAGGCTCTTATCCTCCAATGGATAAGAAGGAATCTTGTCATGACTCAGCAATGAGGGGAAACAAATCGACCAAGGCAATTTGGACTTTTCAGGTAAACCGACCGGGGCATTTTGGGTACTTCAAGTAAGTGTTTCCTCCTATACACACTCTCCTCTATTGTTGCTGCTCTCTCAGAGCAGCTCTTCTTCATCTCTTTCACATACTGACTTGAGCGTCGGAGGCTCTATGCCGGAAACACTTTCGGCGTTGAGTTTTTGCAGGTGTTGCTGCGGTCTAGCAACAATTCAAAGGCGATTCAAGCAGATCTGAGCTCATTACCACCGGTTCACTCTAGATCTGAGAGTATACCCATCAACTAGGACTGTAAGACTTATCAATGACCCTACCAATTACACGGTGGTCCAACAGGACGACGACTATTAGACAGTTTCCGAGCGGGAGAAGTGCGATGTATGTGTTCATAATTTGTGGTTTTTTTATTATTTCTTTTTTTCTTTTTTGGTGTTTCATACTAATTAATTTGAATTTTATTTTCAGACTCAAGCCCTGGAGGGGTGGTTTATAACTCGTTAGCGAATATTCAAGACATATTTCATACACTCCCTCCACGGGCGCAGGCCGCATTCCAACAATCCTACAACATTGCCTATAGTTATCTGACCAACAGTTCTGTTTGTCCCATTTTTGTGTCTTTATTTCATGTATATTTTCTTTTTGTTTTCCCCCATTTGTAGGTTTTTCGTAGTTTATTTGGTCCATTTCGTTCGTTTTGTGTTTTTCTCCTTAGTTTACATTTCTGTGTCTTTTTGCCGTGTTTTGCTTTGTGTTTTTCTGTGTTTGTGTTTTCAGGAGGTACGTTGTGCCGGTCGAGGTTAGGATTGCTTGAGATGAGACCGTGATATCGAGAATACTCGTTGCCGAGCTCAGAAGACTAAAGGAAGGACTGAAAAACGGTCAGAAAACAGCCCAGAATTTCTCGCGAGTCGCGACCCAGTGTCGCGACCCGCAAAAGAAACAGAGGCTAAGGGGCAGTCCAAAGCACGAGTCGCGACTCGCGAGAAGGAGTCGCGACTCGCGACATGATGTCGCGACTCGCGAGAAGGAGTCGCGACTCGCGACTTTGGTCGCGACCTGCCCCAGAATATAAAGAAAATGACAACGCGCGACTCGCGACTGAGGAGTTGATGATCTCGCGACTCGCGACTTTACCGGCGCGAATTTCGAGGACGGCATTTTAACATCAGATTTTGGTCCTAGGGTTCATTATTCGACTTCCAGACTTTACTCTTACGTTTTTTATCTCTAGAAACTCATTCCTTTTCATACTTTTGCACTTTGGATTTGTTTTGGAGATTAAAAACTCCTTTTCTCTGCTTTGGATTTGGATGCACTTGGATTTGACATTGAATTCTTATCATTAATCGTAAGTTCTTTTTCTCAATTGTTTTGTTGATGATAATGGCTTGGGTTAATATGAATTGTGATGTTAGATTCCATATGAGTAGCTAAATCCATTCGCTAGGGATAGGAGATGTTTGATTAGGTTCAATAATGATTGAATGCTTTTGATTATTCATGTCTATGAGAGTTGTGTGAATTAAAGGGTTAGTAGATTGATCACCTTTCTAACCTAGATAATCAACGTGTAGAACCGAGAGGGGAGACGTTGGTCGAATTAGGCTCGTTTAGAATAGATTTGTTCGGAAACGTATAATCTATGTGTTGTTGCAATTGATAGTCGATCGTTTACATTCACTCTCTTGTTACGAAGAGTTATTGAGAGTGAACCGCTGAACGAGAAATGATTCAAGTCCTTTAACCGAGCAATTGATTGCCGGTGATTATGTTAGAACCGAAAGCAATTATCCCCGATTCCCTAGCTTTTTAATCATTCAGTGAATTTATTTGCCATTTTATTTTCATTTTATTCAGTTTAAATCATTAGTTGATAATTGAAACCCAAAGATATTGAATTAGAGTGTTTAGGAATTTGTCTTCTTTTTTTCATGATTGAATATACGCACAAGAATATCCGGCTAACCTTCCTTGCGATACGACCCGGGGACGAATCTTTCGATTCTACTCCGGTAAAAATACTGACAACAAAATTGGCGCCGTTGCCGCGGAAGGTTTAGCATTATAATTGTGCGCCTATTCATTTTTTTTTAGTGTTTCTCTTATTTCTTGTGATTTTTCTTGTTTCAGTGTTTCTCTTTGTTGCTTTTGCTTAGTCTGATAGTTCTTGATTTTTTTTGTTATTTGTTTTTCTTTAGGATTTTCTTTTGTTTATCTGGTGCTCGTGACGATATCTTTTGTCTTTGTGTATGCGTACCAGGAGTGGGCGTATCATAGGACCAAACGACGAACTAAGTCACGAGAGCGTAAGGGAGCTGTTCGACAAATTCAACCTCGAATCTTCAGAAACCACAAATCCAGACATGGCTCTACAACACCGCGATCTCCTTCGAGACTTAGCCCATCCGACGATTGGGCCGATAACTTCATGCATTTGGTTGCCACAAGAAGCTCGGAACTACGAGCTTAAGATGATCCATTACAACCAGCTGCCATCCTTCCACGGGCTCCCGAATGAAGACCCGCTTAACTTCATTCGGGAATTCTACAATGTGCTACAAACCTTCCCTCTCTATGGGCTCAGCGAGGAGCAACTGAAGATGAGGTGTTTTCCTGAGACATTGAAGGACCGGGCCAAGGCTTGGTTCATGACCCTCGCACTGGACTCTCTCACTACCTGGACCAAAGTATACACGAAGTTCATTGGGAGGTACTACTCCCATCAGAAGACCCAGGAGCTCCGGTCGCAAATCGTCTCCTTTACTCAACTACCGAATGAGCCTCTTCACGAGGCTTGAGAGCGGTTCATGGATATCCAGCGGCAGTGCCCTCATCACAACCTCTCTCCGGGCCTACTAATCAACTGCTTCTATGACTCCCTCCATCAGAACTTGCAGTATATAGTTGACAATGCGGCAGGGGGAGATATCGGAGCAAAAACGGCTGGAGAGATGTTCAACATTTTTGAGACGATGAGCACGAATTCGTCACAGAAGAGCATCCGAGGGAAGAGAGCAACAGTAAACGAGGTCGGGCAGGGCAACAATGTGATGGCCCAACAGTTAGCCGAGCTCACAGAGCAAATGCGTTTATTTAACGCACGAGGAGCTCAGTCGGTTCAGACCATGTCCGTTGACACGTGTGGGGCATATGGAGTCCCAGGGCACAGGTCTGAACTGTGCCCTTTAGCCTTCGATCAGGAGTTCGGTGAGCAGTATGCAGATGCCAGCGCTTTACAGGGATACCAAGCCTGGCCTGGTAATGACCCGTTTTCAAACACGTACAACCCGGGATGGAGGAATCATCCCAACTTCTCCTGGTCCAACAACACGAACTCCCTTCAGCAACCCCGTCCGAATTTCATGCAGCAGCAACCTCGACCCAACTTCATTCCCCGTCCGAACTACCAGCAGCAGCAGCTGCCGAGAGGACCGGTAGCCGGTATGCAAGCACCGGGAGCCGGGCTAAGTTCTTCCCTCCAAGACGACAAGCTCGACAAGATCCTCCAATTTATCACGAACCAAGATGCATCCATCAAGCGTCTTGAGACACAAGTGGGCCAACTGGCCACTAGGGTCGGGTACATGGAGACCGAATCTGACAAAGGGAAGTTGCCTAGCCAACCTGAGCAAGCTAAAGCTATCACGGTTCTCAGAAGCGGGAAGGTAGTGGACAACAAGGTGCAAATGCCCGGGCCCGAGGATCAAGAGGTGACCAAAGAACCTGAAAGTGAGGGGACAGATGCAGAGAAGATCAAAGAAGGAGAGTCCGGGAAAGTGACAGACGAGCCCGTGCTACACAAGTCACCAAATCCATTCAAGACACGCATTCCCTTTCCGGACCGTCTCAGAAACGAGAAGCAGGAAAAGTAGTTTCGGGATCTTTTCAGCATGCTGTCCAAGGTAAATGTTAACTTACCCCTCCTTGATGTGATTAAGAATATGCCATCCTATGGAAAATTCTTTAAGGACTTGGTGACAAAGAAGCGGAAGTTCGAGGATGGAGAGAAGGTGGTTGTGTATGAGGCTGCAAGTGCAATGCAACACGATTTGCCGAAGTAGGAACGTGACAACGGTGGGTTCATTATCCAGATAGCCTTGGGAAACGGGAAGGTAGTGTTGTAGCAAAATATATTTTTACCGAGTACCGAATCGAAAGATTCGTTCCCCGGGTCGATCTCTCGAGGAAGGTGGTTCGGAATCTAGGGATGGTGTTGATAACACATAATAGAAAAATAAATCCTAAACACTCTAATCAAGATTATGGTTTTTAATTATCAACTACGAAAGAGAATTCAAACAATGCAAAATCGAACTTAAAAGCAAAGATGAAGATCAAAGGATAAGAAGGAGTCGGGGATTTTCTAACCAATGCAAATATCAAGCTAAGATCATTCGGTTAAATGATTCGACCAACCTAACGTCTAGAGATAGACCTCAATAACTCTTCGTAACAAGAGGATAACATAGGCGGTAAATCAAACAAATCACACAACACATACACAATACGCTTCCGAACAAGTCTATTTCATGCGAGACTAGATCGATCAACTCCTCCCCTTTCGGTTCTAAGAGTCGATTAAATTATCCTAGACGATTGTTAATCTACTAGTTCGATGGATTTAAACACATCACACAAGAACGAATCATATTCAATTGGAGATCAATTGCAAATCGAAGTGTCACTCTTCGAAAATAATCAACATTTAATGTACGAGAATTATAAACCCTAGTTAAGAACAACTCGCATAAATTGAGCGATCAACAAGCATGATAATCACAATTAAATCTAAACACCATCATCATCCCCTATCCCTAGCGAAACGAATTAGCTACTCATATGGAATTCAAAATCAACAATCTCAACAATCAAAGCCATCATATTCATGGATTAGATGAAAAGAGAAACTTACGATTAATAGAAATCCAATATTCGAATTCAATGACAAAGCTAAATCCGGAAAAGTAAAGAGCGAATTGAGCAAAACGAACAATCTAAATCCAAGTTTTAGAGAAGGAGAAAGTGAAAAAAAAAAAAAAAAATATTGGAGATTGTTCCCACGAGTCTAAGGATCGTTTTGATATATAGTGCTCGAAAAACGGAGCTAAAACGAGTAAAAACGAGCAAAAATAAAAACAGGGTCGACCCAGTCGCGACTCGCGAGTCAACAACTCGCGAGTCGCGAGTCACCTGGGTCGCTGGGGCTGCGCTCTCTGTTAAACTCGCGAGGCGCAAGTTCCGGGTCGCGAGTCGCGCGATGCTGGACGCTGGCGTGGGGCGCGGTCGCGGGTTGCGGGTTGCCACCTGGGCTGCACTGCACCATCTTACGTTTTGGCCTCGTTTGAACTCGTCCGAACTCGGAATTGAGTTCCGTTTTTTTCTATGCGTAGCTAACGAACCCATATATTTAATTATGCTCTCGAAACCAATTTTTCCTGAAGAGAAAATTCGTCCAAAGCTCCCGACCTACACACCAAAAACAACAAAACACAAAAGAAAACTGGAAAAACAAACGAAAAACACCTAATGACTCAAAATAAAGGAAAACACATAATAAAACACGAAACGGACTAAAAACTAAAGAAATGACCTAAAACGGGAGAAAAAGAAAGATAAAATAAACACAAAAAGCAACAAAAATGGGACAAACAGGTAGCTTCGAGGATGCTTGACCTTGGAGCCGGAATAAACCTCATGCCCTTCTCGATTTTTCAGAGGCTCGGTCTTGGGGAGGTGAGGCCGACCCGCATGTGCCTCCAGTTGGCGGACCGTTCTATTCGGTATCCGTTGGGGATAGTTGAGGATGTTCTCGTGAAGGTGGGTAAGCTTATCATTCTAGTTGATTTCGTTGTCTTAGACGTTGGAGATGTTGACGAGAATGGGAAGGATCACACCATCCTTCTCGGGAGACCTTTCATGGAGACTACGAATACCCTTATTGATGTGAAGAATGGGACCCTGAATATGACTGTTTCGGGGGAGTCGGTGTCTATTTCCGTTCGAGGAGCCATGTCTGCCTCCTCGGTGAATTTTGTAGAAGAGTGTGCCTTCATTGATCTAGCCGACCCATTTGTTGATGAGATGGTACTTCATGAGTTCGAGGAAGTATCGATGCCGGTTTTCTAGGATGAGAATGAGCCTATAGTTGAACTCTTTAAAGTTGGAGAAGGCCACACTTGAGCTTAAGGAGCTGCCCAAGCACCTTAAGTATGTCTTCTTGGATGATGCCAAACAGAAGCCGGTAATCATCTTTGCTGAGGATCAGCCAAAGACGACTTTCACGTGCCCCTCTGGCACCTTCGCGTTCAGACGGATGCCCTTTGGCCTATGCAATACACCGGGTACATTTCAGAGGTGCATGTTCTCCATCTTCTCGGATATGCTTGAGAACTGCCTATAGGTATTTATGGATGACTTCTCTATCTTTGGTGATTCATTTCTCATTGTCTCCATAATTTATCTCGTGTCCTTGAACGTTGCATTGAGTCTAACTTAACTTTGAGTTGGGAGAAAAGTCATTTCATGGTTAGGAGTGGAGTTGTTTTAGGCCATGTTGTTTCTAGTAGGGGGATGGAGGTAGACAAGGCTAAGGTACATGTTATTGAAAAACTTCCCCCTCTTGTGAATGTTAAGGGGATTAGGAGTTTCTTGGGGCATGCGGGGTTTTATAGGCGTTTTATTAAAGACTTTTCGAAAATTAGTCAATCATTATGCCACTTGTTTGCTCAGGATGTACCATTTATTTTTGATGATGCTTGCTTGAGTGCTTTTAATGAATTAAAGAACAAGCTTGTGAGTGCCCCTATTGTTATTACCCCTGACTGGTCACTTCCTTTTGAAATTATGTATGACGCATCTAACCTTGCAGTGGGCGCCGTTTTGGGTCAACGAGTTGATAAGTTGCTTAGAGTGATTTATTATGCTAGTTTGACTCTTAATGGAGCCCAACAGAATTATACCACCACCGAGAAAGAACTTCTAGCCGTGGTCTTTTCGCTTGAAAAATTTAGATCTTATATTTTGGGATCTAAGGTAATTATTCACTCAGACCATGCAGCTTTGAAGTACCTTTTGAGCAAAACTCATTCTAAACCAAGGCTCATCCGGTGGATCTTGTTACTGCAAGAGTTCGATGTTGACATTAGAGATAGGAAAGGTTCTGAGAATGTAGTTGATGATCACTTGTCACGCATAGTCCCATCTGACTCATCATCTTCATTGATTGTGCATCATTCTATTAATGAAAATTTTCCTTATGAGCATGCGCATGAAGTGTCGAAAAGTGCTTGGTATGCTGACATTGTGAATTACTTATGTTGTGGAGAACTGCGACCTGACCTCTCTTTCTAAGAGAGAAAGCATTTTGTTTCTGTGTGTAGGGACTACTTCTGGGATGAGCCGTTTCTCTTCAAGATGAGGAAAGACGAGGTGCTTAGGAGATGTGTACCAGAAGAGGAGCAAGTCGATGTCCTTACATTCTGCCATGAGTTTCATTGTGGTGGCCACTTTGGCGGCCAGAAGACCGCCTCCAAGGTTCTACAATCAGGTTTGTTTTGGCCTACCCTTTTCAAAGATGTTCATACTTTCTGTCGTTCTTGTGATAGATGCCTGGGAATATAGGCCGCAGAAATGAGATGCCCTTGACTAATAACCTTCAAGTAGAAATTTTTTACGTCTGGGGCATTGATTTTACGGGACCATTTCCTAAGTCTAGTGGCTATGAGTATATCTTACTTGCTGTAGATTACGTGTCTAAGTGGGTTGAGGCTATCCCCACAAAGACATGTGATGCTAATGTGGTGATCTAGTTTGTGCAAGGACATATATTGAGCAGGTTTGGGTTCCCAAGAGCAATAGTGAGTGATGGGGGAAAGCACTTCTGCAACAAGCTCTTTGAGAAATTGATGAAGAAGTATTGCATTTCGCACAAAGTAGCTACCCCCTACCATCCACAAACTTCGGGTCAGGCGGAGACGAGCAATAAGCAGATTAAGACCATCCTAGAGAAGATGGTCAATTCATCACGGAAGGATTGGTCGAGCCGACTCGATGACGCTTTGTGGGCCCAGTGGACAGCGTACAAAGGTGTATTGGGAATGAGCCCATTCAGACTCGTCTACGGAAAGTCTAGTCACCTACCAGTGGAGATTGAGCATAAGGCCTCGTGGGCCATTAAGAAGACGAACTTTGATCTAGATGCAGCCGGAAAAGCTAGAATGTTGCAACTATCGGAGTTAGAAGAAAGGAGCAACGAGGCATATGAGAATGCTAAGATCTATAAAGACAAGGTGAAGAGACTCCATGATGCCCATATTGTTAGAAAGGAGCTGGTACCGGGCATGCGTGTTCTTCTGTATAATTCCCGACTACATCTTTTTTCGGGAAAACTGAAGTCCCGGTGGAGTGGTCCTTATGTTGTTGATGCTGTGTTATCTTTTGGGGCCATTCGACTTCGCAATCCAGCTAATGGCGAGTTATTTGTGGTTAACGGACAGCGAGTGAAGCCATACTTCGATGGGGAGCTCGGGAAGTACCATGTCGAGACCATCAGTCTCGGCGACCCAGCGTATCCTTGATCTAAGGCATCAATGCCGAGCTCCCGGCTTAAAACCGAGCGTTTATTGTATTATGTGTATATATATCTATTAAAAAAAAAAAGAAAAAAAATCAGTTTTTCGCAACTCGCGAGACTATGTCGCGAGTCGCAAGTTAGCCCATGACATATGTCTATCGGTCTCAGTTTTTTTCGCGAATCGCGAGTTGGATATCACGACTCGCGACACTATCGCGAGTCGTGAATTGTCCCACAATATATACTCTGTCGCACTCTGTTTGTTTCGCGAGGCGCGACGTACCGTCGCGACCCGCGACTTAACAGTAGCGCCTTATCTGCTATTTTATTCTACTGACATCGCGTTTTTTTCTTCTTGTGCAGAAATATACCGACTTCTCTCGCGACCAAACCCTCGTCCCCAAATTGCTCATCTTCTGTGTTCACCTACCACCACCGGCAACCACCATCTCCGACCACCGGCGCTCCGTTCACCTCCGTGCCCTAGCGCCTAAATTTCGACCTCGCGCAGGTTCCTCTCTCCCTCGCGCGACGCGACTTCGCGAACCCTTTTCTCCAGCCCGGCATTTCACTCTCAGACCACCGTCTGACTGCCCCACTGTGGTCAGCGACCACGCCTTCTCTGACCACCAGCAGCCACCAGCAAGTCATCCCCATCTGTCACTTTCGTCCTCAAGATCGACCACGCTACCGCATAGCATATTCGATTTTCTGACGCTCGGTAATTGGCTTTTTCTTCAGCACTTACGTTGTTTGGGTTCGGTTGCTGAATTTTGTTGGAGAGAACATATATTTGGGTGCTTCATTGTTGGTTTCTCTCGAGCCCTCACGTTCATAGTCTTGCCCGTCAAGTGTTCGGTGATTTGTTTGAAAGAGTACTACTTATTGAATATGGTAAAGAAGGGAGCCGGTAACAAGCGTAAGAAGACGGTCGGGAGTCTTCTTCCTCTCGGGACGAGCCAGTTGATTTACGGGCCGACTACAATGCCCCTTTTCCTATTCTCTCGGAACGGGAAGGGGAGGTTTATGCCCAGCTCGCGAAGAAGGATGTCTTGAAATCAAAGACGTTCGACTTCGCCTTACTCTCCGACCTTGGGATCTCAGGGACCATCGAGTCCTACCTTGACGCGCTGCGCTTGAAGACTTACGCCTGCTTGGTCCACCTGACATACCGGAACCTCACACTCGAGTTCTTCAGTACACTCAAGATCCCGTCAACCTAAGACTACATGACGTGCCGCCTCCTTGGGATTAAGAGGTTCATTACTGACGGCATCATGAAAACAGTCGTGGGACTCCACCGTGGCGGCGCTAGGATGAATGAAGGAATGCATCCTGATATTTTCTGGCCCCAGCTTTCTCCCGACACGGTGTGGGACTCACAGGGCTTAGCTAATAGCCTCATCAAGGACGGTGTTGTCGCTGTGATGCACAAATATTTGTGCTATGGTGTGTTCAGGAAGAAGGAGGCCAACAAGGTCACTCAAATTGACCTCGCCCTGTTGTGGGCTATGCTCGAGGGAAAGAAGCGAGATATGTTGGATATTTTTAGGGAGGATTGTCGAGCCGTCATTTGGAACAAGAGAGCGGCAACCTGCTTTGGTCATATCGTGACTGCTCTGGCTTTGCACTTCCACGTGGACCCGGCGGCGTCTGGCAGCCTTCTCGATCGTATGCGGTTCATTGACTCCTACGAGTTAAGTCATTCGGGCCTAATCTGTGATCGCCGCACCTTTGAGGCCTATACAGCGCGCCCGGCCTATGCCGCTTATATGAAGAAGGTGGGTGCGGCCGCTTACACTGCTCAGGCCGACTCGTCTCGTCCTCAGCAGGAGACCGAGGATACCCACGAGACGGAGGCGATGGAGCACGACCATGCTCTAATCGACGAGGACCATCGCCTTCCGCCTCCTATTGATTGGCACCGACCCCGGAGGCAGATTCCCAGGAGCCACGGACCACACGTTCGCCTCCGCACCCAGTGGAGCCATCTGCACCGCCCGCTTGGTGGTCCTTGCCTCCTCCGTGGTGGACGGCTTATGAGGACCGCTATGATCGTGACATGCGGGACACTAATGCCCGCTTTCGGGCTATTGAGCTATGGCAGAGCCAGTGGGACGCGCGATATGCACAGTGGAGCTCCGGCACCGGCCAGCCCTATCCTCCTCCTCCTTCTCCTCCTCATGGACCACAGTGATTTGTCACTGTGTTGGTTAGCTTTTCTTTTTCTTTTCTCTTTATTTTATTTCTTTTTGTATTTCCTCTTTTCTTTTGTTGTGTCGACTGATTGTGTAAGTACAACTTTCTTTCACTGCGGATCGACAATGGGGACATTGTCTGATTTTAAATGTGGGGGAGTTTATGTGGCTATATGATTGACAGGTCTAGTTTTTTTGTTTTAGGGTGTGTTTTATTTCTTTCTTTTGCTTGTGGATCAGTCTAGTGTAGGATTTATGTGTTTTGGAGTCTGTACTTGGAAAATTCATGATGAGTGGAGACGTGGTTAATGAATTCGATGAGTTGTGATGATGGTATTGTATGGCATAGCGTGATGAAATGTTTGGTTAATGGCTTTGATTGACATTCATATATTTGCCTAGTGAGGTTTGAGCCTTATTTCTTTCTTGAGATACCTTGGTCGTGCTCTTGTTTGATTAGAACTTGCCCTGAGTCTGCATCGAAATGAATCAATTTAGGTTGTGAACTGTGAATATGATTAAGGCATTTTTTGTATTTTTCTATCCTTGTTTTTTCTGCAATTATTCCCTAGTTGCCCTTTTGAGCCTAATTGTTTTTTTATAACCTCGTGATGATGACATTGGTGAGTCTCGGGTTGAGAATGGGAGGGGATAGTTGTGGAGTTTTGTTTATATTTTCAAAAAAAAAGGAAAAAAAAAACATAAAAAAAAAGAAAAAATGTAGCCGAATGGATTGTAAATGTCCAAAGAGGTTTTTTTTTTTTTTCCAAACGATAGAAGATCTCATAACAAAATAAATTGTTCATACAAACGGGATACAATGAGAGAACCAGAACATGCTCTGGTCTAGACAACAACACACCAAATGCACTGAAGGCAGCCACACGAGCTGAAATCCAACAGGTACAACATCAACACACTAAACAAAAACTGAAAAAACCTACACAAACATAGCAACATGACAAAGGAAAGCATAACACATCCATAGCCACTGTCCACAGACCTAGCATAGAACCTGTCAGCCCTTCAATCACCCAGCTTCTCTGCAGCTTACAAAGTCCATCCAACCCCTAACTGCCATCTTCACAATCATCCTCTCCGGTTTCCACAAGTTTTCAAACATCCAGAGATTTCTAGCTTTCCACAGCCACCAAAGGATGTATGTGGAAAGCTGGATTCTCTTCTCAGCCACATCAGTGTGATTCAGTGTACTAATCCACCACCACCACTCTTTAAACTCTTCTTCTCCTCCAGGTAAGTCTGCCCATTGCACATGAGACAACTTCCACACCATCTTAGCTCTTCTGCATTGGAATAGAATATGTTGCACTGTTTCTGTTGCCTCACCACACCCTCTGCACCTAACATCAATGTCCATTCCTTTTTTCTGAATATTGGCCAAGGTTGGTAATGCACCTGTACATGCTCTCCAGATAAAATGCTTAACCTTCCCCTGTACTTTCAAATTCCAGCATCTCCTTCTGGCCTCCTTGCTCCTCTGAGCAGCCCTACTACTTTCAGCTCTATCCATCATCAGCTTAGCATAAGTTGCTGCCATAGTATACCTCCCTTTTGTGTCAAAGTTCCACCTCCACTTATCTTCAGCCTCTGGGTTAAGGGTGTTGATTTGCAATACTTGTCTACTTTCAGCTTCATCAAAGTACCCCCTCACCAACCTCTCATCCCAATTCCTCCCTTCATTTGTCATTAGATCAGCCACCCAGACATCTGTTCTCACAGCTCCCTGCTTGATTTTAGTTGGCCCATTCACTACCCAGTTCCAATCTTTGAGTTTGGTTGACCTGCCATTTCTGATTTCTACCTTCAAGCCTTGCTGCAATACTGGTAGGACACCCAGCCAACAGTTCCACAGCCATGATGAGTTGGGTTTCTTCTTACACTCAAAGATAGAGTGTTTTGAAAAATATTTGCCTTTGAGGATCCTGCTCACCAACAGATTAGGTTGTGTTGATATCCTCCAGAGTTGCTTGATCCTGAGGGCTTGATTGAACAATTTGATATCTTGGAAGCCCAAGCCACCCATGTCTTTTGATAGAGTTAGTTCTTTCCAAGCTTTCCAATGTTGCTCCACCAAAAGTTGGCACACAGGCTAGCAATAGCTTTACATGTTCCCTTAGGAATCTGAAAACAACTCATCACAAACACTGGCAAAGCATTTAGAACAGCTTTAGTTAATGTTTCTTTCCCAGCAGCAGACAAAAATTTATTCTTCCAGCTCACTATCTTGTTTCTCACTGCTTCCACAACAAAATTAAAGGTCTCAAGCTTAGATTCCCCAATCCCCAAAGGGAGTTCTAAATACCTAGTAGAATTTTGGACTTTAATCCCCTCAAGGATGGTACACACACTCCTCCTCGCCCCCTCAGCTGTGTTTTTACTGAAAAAATGGAGGATTTAGTTAGATTGACCTTCTGCCTTGTGAAATCTTTATAGAGGCACAAAATATGGTTTATTAGATGAGTCTGATCAATGGTAGCATGACAGAAAACCAGAGAATCATCAGCAAAAAGGAGATGGGTCAAAGTAGGACAATCCCTGGCCAAAATCACACCTTTAAATTTGCCCAACCCCACCTCATTGTTAATGGCAGCTGAAAGGACCTGAGACACTATCAAGAAGAGATAAGGGGATATTGGGTCACCTTGCCTCAACCCCCTAGAAGGATTAACCATACCCCCCACTCTCCCATTAATGTTAAAAGAAAAACAAGGAGTGGACAGACAAGCAAGAATCCATTTCACAAACCTCCCATGAAAACCCATCTTAAGCATAATATCCCTCACACACCCCCATTCCACCCTATCATAAGCCTTCTCCATATCTAACTTTAATGCCATGAAACAATTCTGCCCAGTTCTATGCCTATTAAGAAAATGAAAAGTTTCATGGGCTATAATCACATTATCCATCAATTGTCTCCCTGGGATAAAGGCTTACTGAGCAACATCAATACACTCATCAAGACACACCTTCAACCTATCAGCCAAAATCTTAGAAGTAATTTTATAGATCACAGAACACGGGCTTATAGGTCTGAATTGATTGAGGGATTCAGGTTTTACACATTTAGGAACAAGAGTAATCAAAGTATGATTCCAGGATTTTAATAGCATTCCAGACTCAAAAAAGCTACTAACAGCAAGACACAAATCTTTCTTAACAATAGACCAATAGTGCTGAAAGAAAAGGGCTGACATATCATCCTCCCCTGGAGCTTTGTTAGGATTGAGGCTGAAAAGAGATTGCTTGATAATGTCTTCATCCACTGGGCCTACTAGATCATTGTTCATCTGGGCAGAGATAGTTTGGGGTATGTGCTGGAGTAAGAGATCACCTCCTATTGAATTTTCAGACTTGAACAGCTTATCATAGAAGTTTTGGGTATGCTCCTCAATTTCCTTCTCAGTGTTAAAAACTCTGTTACCTTCCCCCACCAGTCTACTTATGGCATTTTGCTTTCTCCTTTGGATGGTATATGCATGGAAAAATTTTGAATTGCAATCTCCATCTCTCAACCATTGAACTCTGGCCTTTTGCTACCAATACACTTCCTCTGCCTGATATGCTGCATCCAACTCCTTTCTGGTATATTCCCACTCCACCCAGTCCTTTTCACCTCCTAATCCTCTCATACTTTCTAGCCTCAGAGATAGCTTCTCAATCTGCTCCCTACTGTTAGATTTCTTTTGCCAGTCCCAGTTCCTCAACGCTAGTCTTGATAGCTTGATTTTTTATTTCACCTTCCACATTAGAGTCCAAAGAGGTTGACAAAAAAACAAAAAAAAACAAAAAAAAGTGACCAAAAAGGGTCGCACCAAAAAAAAAGAAAAAAAGAAAAAAAAAAAGAGCAAAACAAAATAAGTTGGGTGAAACGTGTGTTTTTAGGAGAAGTGTGTGGGAAGATTCGGTTTGTTTGAACAACCGGTTGAGCTTGCATTCGTGGGTTAGGAGTTTGAGTTGTAATCGAGCCACTTATCCTATATTTATCCTACCTGTCCAAAGAGCCTACGTTACAACCCTGAAAGACCTTTTGATTCACTAGTCTCGATTTTGATTAGTTTAGAGTAGAAGTTAGACAATGGGCAAGCCTATGATTGAACTTGTTATCGACCAATTTGAGTGCACCCATATCTTTATCTGTATAAAAAAGTGAGTGAGGCACGCATATACATTCCCATACTTGAGAGGACGTCATATTGAAGTTTAGCGATCAAGCATGTAGTCGTGTCATTTGGATGCTCATTGTTGAAGTTGAACATGTTGAGACTTATCTTGTTATCGACTGATGTCCAGGCTCGCTTTTGTTTTGTGTCTGGTCTTTTCTTTTCTTTTCTCTTTATTCGGGACGAACAAAGGTCGTAGTGTGGGGGAGTTGTTTGTCCCATTTTTGTGTCTTTATTTCATGTTTATTTTCTTTTTGTTTTCCCCCATTGTAGGTTTTTCGTAGTTTATTTGGTCCATTTCGTTCGTTTTGTGTTTTTCTCCTTAGTTTACATTTTTGTGTCTTTTTGCCATGTTTTGCTTCGTGTTTTTCCGTGTTTGTGTTTTCAGGAGGCAGGTTGTGCCGGTCAAGGTTAGGATTGCTTGAGCTGAGACCGTGATATCGAGAATACCTGTTGCCGAGCCCAGAAGACTAAAGGAAGGACTGAAAAACGGACAGAAAACAGCCCCAGAATTTCTCGCGTCTCGCGAAAGTGTCGCGACCCGCGAAAGAAACAGAGGCTAAGGGGCAGTCCGAACCACGAGTCGCGACTCGCGAGAAGGAGTCGCAACTCGCAACTTTGGTCGCGACCTGCCCCAGAATATAAAGAAAATGACGACGCGCGACTCGCGACCGAGGAGTTGATGATCTCGCGACTCGCGACTTTACCGGCGCGAACTTCGAGGATGGGATTTTAACATTAGATTTTGGTCTTAGGGTTCATTATTCGACTTCCAGACTTTACCTTTACGTTTTTTCTCTCTAGAAACTCATTCATTTTCATACTTTTGCACTTTGGATTTGTTTTGGAGATTAAAAACTCCTTTTCTCTGCTTTGGATTTGGATGCACTTAGATTTGACATTGAATTCTTATCATTAATCGTAAGTTCTTTTTCTCAATTGTTTTGTTGATGATGATGGCTTGGGTTAATATGAATTGTGATGTTAGATTCCATATGAGTAGTTAAATCCATTCACTGGGGATAGGAGATGATTGATTAGGTTCGATAATGATTGAATGCTTTTGATTGTTCATGTCTATGCGAGTTGTGTGAATTAAAGGGTTAGTCGATTGATCACCTTTCTAACCTAGATAATCAACGTGTAGAACCGAGAGGGGAGACGTTGGTCGAATTAGGCTCGTTTAGACTAGATTTGTTCGGAAACGTATAATCTATGTGTTGTTGGAATTGATAGTCGATCATTTACATTCACTCTCTTGTTACGAAGAGTTCTTGAGAGTGAACCTCTGAACGAGAAACGATTCAAGTCCTTAAACCGAGCAATTGATTGCCGGTGATTATGTTAGAACCGAAAGCAATTATTCCCGATTCCCTAGCTCTTTAATCATTCAGTGAATTTATTTGCCATTTTATTTTCATTTTATTCAATTTAAATCATTAGTTGATAATTGAAACCCAAAGATATTGAATTAGAGTGTTTAGGAATTTGTCTTCTCTTTTTCGTGATTGAATATACGCACAAGAATATCCGGCTAACCTTCCTTGCGATACGACTCGGGGACGAATTTTTCGATTCTACTCCGGTAAAAATACTGACAACAAGTTCTACAACATTGCCTATAGTTTTTTTACTGTTGGAGGCCAAGAGGTCACAGAAGGAGCGTCGTTCAGTCAAGTTCTATCCGAGGACTACGTCCCATCCCAAAAAACACAGTCACAGAGGGCGAGGCATCAACCCCCTGCCAACATTGGTGGAGGTAGAAGACGTCGTGACCACGAACGACAACAACGCAAGTTCGAAATTGAGTTGTGCTTTTTCCTATACGTAACGAATCTCTCTATTCAATGATGCATGCATGACCAAATTATTCTTGAAATCATATTCTCCCAAAGCTCTTGACCTACACATTAAACGTGTTTCGCGTGACTTTACTTTTTGGGCCCGTTCGGACTCGTCCAAGCTCGAAATTGATTTCTACTTCTTCATATATGTCGTCAACGAACCCATTTACACAACCATGATTGTCCGGTAAATTTTCGGGTTAAACTATTCCTCACGGGGCTAAATAATTAACAAATCACCTATTAACAAATCCTCCGTGGACCATCTATTTATATAATGAGTAATTTGTTAATTATTTAGCCCGTGAGGAAAAGATTTAGCCCGAAAATTGACCGGGCAATCATGGTTGTGTAGATGGGTTCGTTGGCGGCATATAGGAGTAAGCGGTAATCAATTTCGAGCTTGGACGAGTCCGAACGGGCCCAAAAGGCAAAGTCGCGAGAAACACGTTTAATGTATCGGTCAAGAGCTTTGGAAGAATATGATTTCAAGAATAATTTGGCCATGCAAGTATCATTGAATAGAGGGGTTCGTTAGCTACGTATAGGAAAAAACGGAACTCAATTCCGAGTTCAAACGAGCCCAAAACACAAAACACATACTATATATTAATTTTTTTATTCGTTAAGTTTGAAATATAAAACGTATTATCAAAATACGTTTTATTTCTTAATTATTTATAAAATTTATTATCATAATACATTTTATAAATAATTAAGATATAAAATGTATTATTCTAATACGTTTTAGTTTTTAATTATTTGTTTAGTTCTTAATTATTTGTAAAACGTATAACCGAAATACGTTTTATTT